TGTAGGTTCAGTCATAATAAGTATTAGAACAAAATGGCACACGTGGAGCTTTTCCTATATGTTTAATTTAGGGTCACAGAAAGAACTTTACCAGTCCCTCTTTCTTATCTACTTATTGATCTTTACCCCTTAAAATAAACTAACTTCACCCACATTCTTGGGTGATAAGCCAATTGAAGTGGTACTGTTTTCCTGAAGTATTGATATAGTCCCCAGAAGAAGAATTTTCCGCTATAATAATGGCTGTAATGTAGAATTATCAACCTTTGTTAATTCTGGTAAGTCATGTAACAAATATTTTGAAACATCTAGTCTTTGCCTGGTTCTGTGCCAGGCATTGTTCTGCTCGGTGTGGGACACTGGCCTTCCTACATTGAAGAATCTCAAGGAAAGCATTAGATGTGCAAAAATTATTTACCTAATATCTTCTTTATAGAAGTTTGTGCAAGGTATAAAAATATTAATCTCATTTTTATAGGTGCTATTGGCTCTCTTATGTGGTGCCAAATATACTTGCTCCATAATGTTGCTGATTGTCACAAAAATTGGTAGATTGTCTGGTCATCAACTGGGCAACCATGACAGATGACATTGCTACCCAACTCCACACAGTTAGGTTAATGCTGAGAAAAAAAAACAAAAAAACAAAAACTATGCTTTCTCTACTCCCCCCAACCCCCATTTTAATGTCCAAGGAACTTTTATTCAGTTCTAAGTGAAGAACAAAATTACTTTTGTCAAGTTTGTCTCATATTCATAAGTTAATACTACAACTGTATGGGTATGCTTTCTTTTTTTCTTTATATTTAATTTTCACCTTTTTAAAAATTGAATATGGGGATGACATTGGTTAATAAATTCTATATTAACTGTAATGTATCATCTGTACCGTGCATCTATAAGCTGACATTTTACCCATATTATCACCTATCACATTAAATATTTTCTTGATAATGGACAATGTTAGCTCAGAAAGAATGTGTCTTCTATAATTATGAATCTGAACAAACTTGATTGTCAGCGCTAATAACATGGTGTTTCTGTGACATAACTTCTGATTACATCTGGAAAACTTGGGTTGGGCTACAATAAACTAATGATGCGAAATGTCCCCGGAGACTGGAAATCAGAACCACACACCTTAAAATAAAAATTCTTTACTATTATGTCAAGAATTTTGAAGGGTCTGAGATTTCACTCTAGTTAAAAGCTAACATGTCAGCCACTCAGTGTGTCATAAATTCTAACAGGAGACAATTTCTGAATCAGAAGCAAAGCATTTTCTTATTCGTGGCACAGCAGGCAGCTTAAATTTAACGCTCACTTTGATTCTCCTGGTCTCATCCCACCCCCAAACCATATGAGGGCAATGCACAGGTGGGCCCCGGGGGATGCTGAGCACACAGTGAGTCCGTAGCACCACTGAAGAGCTTAAGAGTCTGATGGTAAAATCTGCCCAACCTTAGTCCTGAAGGGAGACATCATCTTTACTATCCAGATCGACAAAAAACCTGCTCTCTGTTCTAGAAGGATGTACTGTCTCCATCTTCCAAGGCTGTTAGTTATATAAGCATCCCTAAAAAAAAATCCAGAATAAAGGCTTACACAAGACATATAGGAACACCAGGGATGGATGTTTCTTATCTAACAAATTAGAGGGCTTAGAAGAATTACAGACAAACTTTAGAAAATGTCAAGGCCCGGCTGGCATGGCTCAGTGGTTGAGCGTCAACCTATGAACCAGGAGGTCATGGTTTGATTCCCGGTCATGGCATATGCCTGGGTTGTGGGCTTGATCCCCAGTGCGGAGGGTGCGGGAGGCAGCCAATCAATGATTCTCTCTCATCATTGATGTTTCTATCTCTCTCTCCCTCTCCCTTCCTCTCTGAAATCAATAAAAATATTTTTCTAAATGTCAAATATATTTTATATGTTTCATTATTTGTTGTTACAGGTATAAGCAATGCCTAACTGCTGTTACAGCAATATTGAAGTATAATAATGATATTTCTATACATCAATATCAAAAACAGTAAATATAAAAATGATGAAATGATCTCAAGATGTTAGTTCTACTCTTTTTCAAGCAATTATTCATATCTTGTTATGAAACTTATAGATATTGTCATCTATGTTAAAACTTTCCACCTTTGTATTAGAAAACATCGTTTAAAAATAATCAACTATCTATATATATTTAAAACCATGTTTAAAAGAAACTTGGAAAATCTGCCTATTTGCATTCATTCCATAATGACCTAAATATCATTTGAAAAACATTTGAACTCTAAGTAGACTTAAAAACTTGATGTCTAGGTTGATTATGTTAAATAATATTTAGTTTTAAATATCAATTTGCTTAGGTAATTTGTCTTCCCCTAGACATTTTTCTTTTCTTTAATACAGATGTAATTGTTCGGAAGCAATTTTACTTTCACTCTTATATTTGGATATTTTTTGTGGATTGGGTTATTGTTTAAATAGCCACATAAAAGCCAAGCTTTTAAAATTGGTGGGATTGTTATCAGAAGAGAACTGATGGTTTCTTGGGTTTTTCAGTCCTTACGATATGAAGCAATGGAATTGACTTATCTTTTTTGAAGTCACCTATAGAAAGAGTAGAGAAAATGTTAGTTAAACTTAAATAGGAAAGGAAGCTGATCACATCTCAAATCAGCTTTCTTGTTTAACTGGAATTAAACAAAAACAAACAACAAAAAACCTCTAAGGAATTAAACGAAAACAAACAACAATGACAAAAAAAAAACCCTCTAAAAAAAATTAGGCTTGATGATTATAGAGAATTAATCAAACTACTATTCCTTAAGTGCCCAGCTCCTAAGTGAGGTTTAATGGATTCAAAAGAAGAAACTATACCGCCCTCAAAGATCTGAGGGTCCAATTAAGTGGACTTGAAACTCAAAGTAAGGAAAATGTGCATGTTATTAGTGATCAATTCTACAGATTTTTGAGAGAAAAGCTTGATCCTAGAGTTGGGCAGACATATCCCAGCGTGCACTTTCACTTTGTCTAGATGCTCATCCTCACTCTCTGCTGTGGCAGGAAAAGGCACCCTAGTAGGGGCTGAGTAGGGGGCCCAGGGATCTTCCCTTTTTGTTTTTAGATGGTTGTCACTTCCTATTTGGGCATAACACACACACACACACACACACACACACACACACACACCACAAAATTTGTTATTTAAAGAGACCCCACAGAAATGACATCACTAGAGAACTTGCTGCTGCAGCACTTTGTTATTGAAAAAGATTAGAGTTAAACAGAGAGGAAAAATTACTGTCAGTTCCCACATATGGTATGTGCTGTCTGAGAAGGAAGGACAGAAGAAACACAGGATTGCCTTTGTTCTAACTGAATATTTCATTTACCATACTATTTTTTACCCTTACGACTTTAAGCATATGAATTTATTAGGCAGCTTTTTTTTTCTGGCCCCACGAACGCACAAGTGTGTGCTTTGCTCCATGTCTCTGAAGCAGCTACCCTTCAGGTCGCAGTCCCTCTTCCGTGCTTTGCAGCAGGGAAAACACAGAGATTAAGACAGTGCTAACACCAAGTGTTCTGGAGACGCCACATGTTTTTCTCTCCATATCTCTTGTTTTTCTCTCCATATCTCTTGTTTATAGGTTTTGTGACAGTTCATCAGTTCAAACCCGTTATCCAAAGTAAAGTTGAAAGCCATTAGAACTGGAAAAGAAAGATCAGCTGTGCTTTTCCTATGAATAAACCCGCTTTTAGTAATTCAACGCTGTTTCAGTCTGTGAAACACAAATCATTTACTGTTACTATCGCCACATGTTCCCTTCTCTTCTGAGACTCTGCTGAATCCACTCAAAGAGAACAGAAGAATACTAACACTTTCAGTCCGTGAATAAACCCCAATTAACTGAATTCCTAACATTTGATTAAAGGACATGGAATATATGGAGAAAGGCGCTGCATAGAATTCTGATACATAACGAGATTGTTTTGATTAACTTAACACTTTCTTTAATACTTAAGCAGACCTGAGTTTTTCTCCCACCTAGAGACCAACAAAGTAAATGCAGTTATCAATGCTGTGTGCTATTGCCTGTCATTGCACTTTATTAATTGTGGGCATACTGATCTATAAGATGGAGATGGTAAAATTATTTGCCAGAGACAGAGAAGCATCGATCAGACCGTCAAACCTCAGAGGGAAGGCAGGGGAGGGTGGGGGAAAGGGGGAGAGATCAACCAAAGGACTTATATTCAAGCATATAGGCCTAACCAATGGACACAGACAACAGGGGGGTGAGGGCATGAGGGGGGGGGGGATAGGGGGTAATGTGGGGATAAGGACACATATGTAATAACTTAATCAGTAACAAAATTTAAAAAAATAAAGAAAGAAAGAAAAAAATTATTTGCCAGGCCTACTGTATAGATTGTCATAGTGATCAACGGAGATTATGAATGAAAGCCTTCTAAAAAGTAAAAATAAAAACTCAACATAGCCAAAACTGGTTTTGCTCAGTGGATAGAGCGTCGGCCTGCGGACTGAAAGGTCCCAGGTTCGATTCCGGTCAAGGGCATGTACCTGGGTTGCGGGCACATCCCCAGTGGGAGATGTGCAGGAGGCAGCTGATCGATGTTTCTCTCTCATCGATGTTTCTAACTCTCTATCTCTCTCCCTTCCTCTCTGTAAAAAATCAATAAAATACATTAAAAAATAAAAAATAAAAAATAATAAAAACTCAACATAAAAACCCAACCAAATATAATGTAGTTTATTACTATTGTTGTTATTTTGGTAATCTTTAAACATTTTAGTAGGATAATTATCTTCAGAAAAATTTAAATTTTTCTCATTTCAAGAGATTGGTATCACTAGAATGCTAGCATGTTTTTATATTTTCCATACAATAAAATGAATCAGTATTTAGTTATTATAACATTTTAATGAATCAAAAGAGCCAGTATTGTTCATACACCTTGGGTTTTTTGTAACCTAGTTAATCCGGGAGAAGTATTACCTCACGTATGTAAGGCTGGAGAATTTCGTTGCAAGAACAGGCACTGCATCCAAGCGCGGTGGAAATGTGATGGTGATGATGACTGTCTGGACGGAAGTGATGAAGATTCAGAGAATTGCTGTATGTTCTCACTTAAGTAATATTAACTCTCCCTGACCCTTTAAGTGTGTCAACTATGAAAATAGTTTGTGAAAATCTAAAAATGTATTTGATAATAATGGAACTGTTGGTTTTTTCTCAGTCATCCTTTGCATAGTTTTAAGGTGCTGGTTTTCTCATCCTGCCCCATCTTTAACATTATCATTTTGGTTGCCCCAGAAGTCCTTCCTTTCCCATTTGCACTGTGGTACCACCACATCACTGTCAGGATGTGGCTGTAAGAGACCCCTTCGGGTGTCTGAATTTAAAGATGTGGAAAAGCAATTTAAACTCCCTCAGGAAAGAATTACTGGTACAGGAGGTCACGAGCCACTCCATTGCTTCTTGGCAACCAAGCCTTGGAGGAGATCCAAGGAGACAGACATGGGTTTGCAGAATGTTATTCCCTAACTTGGCTGCCTCCATACATGGTAGGAAACACATATGGGGCACTCAGATAGAAATGAAAGATTTGATTTTTCTCCTGTTTGGCTTACTTTTAGTTATCATTTGCTGCTATAGAAATAGTTTCATGTTTTTGTAGGGTTAATGAGATGTCCCACATACATAATAGGAAAACTCTTTGAGAAACACATGAAATAATCTTTTGAGAATATACTAGTATTTGATTACAGTCACTACCTGAGTGGTTTTGAGAGGTATAAAATATTTTTTATATGAAGAGAGAGAGGTATGTGCTGGACATATGCATCTTTGCTCTCTTGATTTGACTTAGATACATCTTTTTAAAAATTGTTTGTTTCCTAATTTTAATTAAAGGCATTTAAGTTAAAGACATTTCCAGGTTAAAGTGGCTGACCTAATTGTGAGTTAATTGTCAAATCTCCATTTTTCTTTTTAATCAAGAATATAAAAATAAAGTTTTAAAATTTGTAGTTATGATTGAATAAAGTTGGTCTGAGCATTTATATCATGAAACTATCTGTGCTTTGGTACAAACCCCAAGAATATGGACTTTAAAAGATATTTTCAAATTGTGCATAAATGCATAACACATAAACTGTCATTAACACAGGTAGCACTACTTACTTTTAATTTCCAAACATGGGTTTGACTGCAAATTATGCATTTCTTATTTTCAAACTCATTAATATTTATACTATAAAGTGTGAAACTACAAATAAAATATTTAATAATAATTGATACAATTAGCCAAATTTTGGGAGTGAAAGAAGCATTTTTATGTAAGTGTACAAGGTGTGTTTTTTTCCTACTTATTTTACACAAATGATGTATTATTGATTAAATTAACTGCCTCATTTCTTCTAAATCACTGTGTTTATTCATGGTTTTAATGAATAGTCCTTATATATCAGCTCCCTAAGTAGTCAGTGTCTGTTCAGAGTACAAATACTTCATCACAATATTCAGCGTTAGCCTTTAGTTCCATGCTTTAATTTATGAGATTGTTCTTTTCACCAACTCACAAAGAAACACGATTCCTTTTGAATATATTTGTACCATTAATTGTAGCATTAAAATTTCTTGTCGGTATTTTTCTCTTATTTTCATCATCTACAACGTCATCACCCAAGCCTACATCATGGGCTTTTTCTGGAGTCTTCTAATTCACTCATGGTCCATATTAAATTCTATCAAAGAATCCTTTCTCTTTTACCCCCTAAATAATTAATATTTCATCTTTACCTCCTCTCAACTTCACTAAATTAGACTACTACTTAGATTAATTCAGTAAGTGCCCTGCTATTATTCCTACCAGAATCCCTCCTTAACTAAAGCCCACTTTCCACACTACTTCCAGGGTGACAATCAAATACTGAAATCTAGCCCAAACTGGTTTGTCTCAGTGGATAGAGTGTTGGCCTGGAGACTGAGGGGTCCCAGGTTTGATTCTGGTCAAGGGCATGTACCTTGGTTGTATCACATCCCCATTGGGGATGTGCAAGAGGCAGCTGATCGATATTTCTCCCTCATCAATGTTTCTCACTCTCTATCTCTCTCCCTTCCTTTCTGTAAAAAATCAGTAAAATATATTAAATAAATAAATAAATAAATAAATAAATACCAAAATCTAGTCTTGATATTTCAGTAACAGTACATAATCAAGTTAAATTCTAAAATTCATTGACTTACATATAAGATACTTTATGTTATATCCTGTCCTGTCTTTACATTTTTAGCCTTAAATGTCTTTCATGAATCCATTTAACCTCTTTGTCCTTACAAGTAGATCTCTAAAAAAAAAAGGTTATTTTCTCTCCTCTGTGACATTCATTACACTCTCTGTTTCTAGCAGTGGAACTCACCATCGTTTTTTATTACTTTCATAGAGAAGTCCTTTTTGAACACCAAAATAATATCCTCTCAATATAGCTCCGAGTTAAATATCTCTTATATATTCCTTTATTATGGTAGTTTCCACAGCTCAGTGCAATTGTATGCTTAATTCTATGGTGCATCTAATAGGTGAATTTCTTCATGAGGAGATACATTTTATTGTAGCATCTTTTTGAGTCTAACAAAGCATCTAGCACATGGCTGAATAAGTGACTAAGTAAATGGGGCAACAACAAACTAAACATCTGTGGTCAGCTTGCAGCAATATGGAGTAATCTCTAAATATTTCAGCGATTCTGAGCAGCATTTTATTTCTGGGGTTCCATGGTGAATATTCCAGAAATACATCATTTATTTCAGAGAATTATTTTAGATTTTAAATACTCATAAGCTTTGACCTTGAATTCCCAACTCGAACTCACAAAACTATGGATTATATTTGCCCTTCATTTTGAACTCTGATTTACATCACTGATGAAAATTGCAAAGGTCACTGATCAAGCTTCAATGCAATGCTTACGCATAATCTTAGTACTTTCAGATGTTGACCCTCTAATATATTGGATGACTTTTATTTTCATTTTATTTTGCTAAAGTCCCTGCAGTGAGTAGAAAATGGTAATATGATCAAATGCCAGACAACATAAAGCTTTTCCACCTTTTAAAAAAATAAACATGAATAGAAACTTTCTAAAAAGTGATAAAATCACTTTATCACCAAAGCTACTTTAAAGAAAAAGTGTTTAGAAACTGGCTGGAAAGGCATACATTTGCTTTGCAACAGCCTGATAAAACAGCTATTTTTTTGAATTCTAAGTATAAGGAATGCCAAAATTTATTTTTATTATACAGAGTATAACTACTAGGCTTTTAAAAAAATTACTTCAAAAAGGATGTTGAAGTTTTAAATACTAAAGAGCATGCCAATTCAGTTAGGAATTTAGCCTCCTGAATGCAGGAAAAATAATCACATTAGGTTAACTTTAAGATAGCCCCCTGTTGTGCTTAGATATTGGATGCTAAATCCTCAGCTGTCTACAGCTTCCCTTCTGAGGATTGGTCTTGTCCTCAGTATATTTTGTGGTTGCATGTTTGTTTGTTCTAGGGAAGGAAACTCATAGTGATCCATTTTGTTATTAAAATTATGCAGGACCTCATATTTAGCCAATTCTAGGTCCCAACTGATGCTTTTCTTTTTTGGCATTTTTCTTCCAGATGTTGCACAAAGCATAACAAAAATAGGCTTATTTAATATTTCAAGAACTCCTTGAGTTAATGTGTGGTTTTTAAAAAGTATTTTTACATATGATTAAGTTATTTGATGCATATTTCCTATACTTCACATTAAAATTTGAGGTTGGTAAAAAAAAATCTGAAATTTAGTTACCTGCTGTGTTAAAGGATGGAAAACCAAAGGCAGTGATACAGTTGGTTTGAGTGAAGACATGAAAAATATATTTACTTTTATATGAGATGTAATAAATTGATGTCTTCTATTAAATTATTATATTTTAAAAGAGCCTTGAATAGTAATATTTTGATAAATATGAGACACTGAATGAAAGAAGCTATTACTTTACTGTACTTTAATATTACAATTACTATAATCTTTCCATAATCCTGGCTTAAAAATAGTCATAATTTTATCCAATTTCATGTGATTAAACTTTCTTCTCCTCTCCCTCCACCCTTTGCCCCAGCCAATCATAGCTGTCCTGATGATCAATTTAAATGCAAGAACAATCGCTGTATCCCCAAGAGATGGCTTTGTGATGGAGCTAATGATTGTGGGAGCAATGAAGACGAATCCAATCAAACTTGCGCAGGTAATCATTTGCTGGGATATATACATAAATCTCTTCCAAAGTTAATCTCCATAAAAATTCAGGTCAATGCCTTCAACTACGGTGAACTTTCCTAATGTCGTGTTCTGATTGTTGGAATAGTAAATGAATTCAACACTTAATTCCATAAAACCTAAATTACCAATGATATTTTAGTTAATCTTTGGGCATGACTCTGCTCTCAAAGTAATTTGGCACTTTCTCTACCCATATGGGGTGACTGGTGATACACTAGTTAGACAAGACTTGTCCCTGCTAAATCTTACTTGGCCTGGGAGGTTGAGGTTTGTTAGCATCCTGGGATGTAGGCCACTCACAAGGAGAACTTTTTTTTTACATTAAAAAAATAATTTCTGTATTTTATTTAGTCTGTTATAGAATTCCTCTGTGAATAGTTCCTGTTCTTGGCACATTATTTATGTAGGTTGGGATTTTTTTTTCCCCATGAAGTCCTACCATCACTAAGCCTATTTATATTTCCATATAATGTATCCCATTGCAATAAATCTTTGAATCCCTAGCCAAATTCTTGTGGAATAGGAATCTACAATTTGTGATACAGGTTACAACGGAGTGGCAGAAAGGTCACTATTAGTCAGATAAATGTTGAAAAACGATACTGACTAGCAGCAGCCTCGTGATTCGCTATAAACGATGGAAAAAAAAGGTAGTGCATTTGATGCTTCATATGGATATGATCAGTAAAAACTGTTTTTTCAATCATTACACACAGCAACATCAAAACATATCAACCACCTCACCCCCTCTTTTTGTCAAAATAAGCATTACTAAATAACTATAGTATATTAGTGAAAACTCATGAGGAAGCATATAAAGAAAAGACCCAGAGGTCAAAAAGCCTTGTTTTGAACTCTTGTTTTTTCCTTAGAAAGACTTGTACCTCTCTGCACTTCAATTTACTCATACATTTATTTCAGTTCTATAAGGACTATGACTTAACAAGAAATTGTTTCCAAAGAGTTTTTTACTGTGTACTAAATAACAACATGATAAGAACAAAACAGTACCATTCCATAATCCTCACCTCCATCTTATTTTCAGTTTTTTTCCCCATAGGGACCTATTTGCTGAGGATCCATGGGCTAGTTATTCTGTTGCTCCTTGGTTAAAAGCTTAGTCTAATATTTTAGAGTAACTGATCATTTTCAAGATATTTTGTATGTCTTATAAGGTTGTTTTACGAAAGACATTCTAGAGACTTGTCCTCTAGAGACTCGTCCTCGGCTCCTGCCTTCAAGCCCATTAATTTCATAGATGAAGGCATGAGAGAAGGGACTTGTCTTAACTCACATCATTAGTTAGAGTTTAAGGGAAAATCAATCCATGAATTCTTTCTCCAAGACCATTGCTCCTTTTATCAAATGATATCAATCTGAGGATTAGCTAGAATTTTAGGTATGGTCAATTTAACTTTGGCCTGGTAGCCTTTTATTATAATTACAGTGAAACATCTTTCTAAGACAATGCAATTATTATTCTCTTAAGGTTCAGATTCAATTCACAGTCGGTTATTACATCCTAAACAGATAGATTTGCTTTCATCTTAAAATAAAAGGTATTGCTGACTTTATTCATAATGCCATGTCTCCTTTATTTCATTAGATTTTTAAAATATATTTTTATTGAGTTCAGAGAGGAAGGGGGAGGGAGGGAGGGAGAGAGAGAGAGAGAGAGAGAGAGAGAGAGAGAGAGAGAAAGAGAGAGAAAGAGAGAAAGAGATCAATGATGAGATAAAGTCATTGATTGATTTCCCACTGCATGCCAACTGGGGATCAAGCCTGCAACCTAGGCATGTGCCCTGACTAGGAATCTAACTGTTACCTCCTAGTTCATAGGTTGAAGCTCAACCACTGAGGCATACTGGCCAGACCTATTTGATTTTTTAAATCCTCTTGTTTCTACATGATTTTTAAAGGAGTGTTTTGGGTTAACTAACTATGTATAGTAGTAAAAGTGAAAATTCTGCATATGATAGCATATGCAGCAATCAATCCTAATTAGTAAGATTTCTAAGACTTTCTAGGCCTTTAATGCACAAGGAGATAGCACACAACCTGCTTTCACCTCAAGTGCCAGTTTAAGTGATGGCGATACTTTAAGTACCGCCTCTCAGTACTAGGTTTTCTTGTCAGTATATTCATGACAGGCATTTTGATCACTGTACACCTCAAGAAATTGAATAAAAAATAAAGAGAAAAATAAATGTACCTTTTATCTTTGAAAACTAAGTATCTTGTCTTGTTACAATGTATTTCCTTTTTGTTTTACAAAAATAAATAGGTCGCATTGCTCATAATATTGGAAAAATGGTAAATCCAATAGATACTTTCCCTGGCTGAGTCATTTCTATATAGTTCTCAGTGTAGGTATATACACGGACATGTATCCTAGATAAGGGATTTCCCATAGGGGGATTATTTTGTAATTGAATCCACTGTACTGTAGCCATTAGCATTGTGACTACTTTATATCTAAAGGAAAATCCTTTCCTACAAGAAACTAATTTCCTATTTTGTTCCTTTGGGACTTCTGCCTCAGAAATCTATTAATTCAATAAATATTTACCATGACACTGGAGAAAGGATGAGAAAAAAATACACAATACTTTTCCTTAAGAAGCTAAGAGTGAAGATGGCGAGATTGACGTGTAAACAGGTTTTCCTAATGCAGTATTCACTATTCACGGCGCTAAATTAAGCCACATGGGAGCACATTAGAGCAGTCGTTGGATGTCTTGGAAGGCTTTCTGAAGGAGGTGATGTCCAAGCTAGGACTTTAAAAACACATAAGAATAATGCCTAAATAACAATGCAGGCCATTTAATTAGGAAAAAGAAGTTTGATAAAACCAAGCATTGCCAAGATTGTGGGTAAAAAAGAAACTGTCGTACACTCTTGGTGATTTTCTACATTGGAAGTCAGTTTAGCCAAATCCAGTAAATGTGAAGATATGCATGCCTTCATCTGTCACTCCAAAACTAGGTTAATAGTCTAATACCTATGCACAAGGAAGCATGAATAAAATTTCCACTCCCCTAATGCTGGCAATACTGAAAACATAAAAACAACTCAAATGCTCATTACAGGGGAATGTATAGATATATTGTGTTATATCCCCATAGTGGAATGATATTCGTAATTAAAATTAATAAACTAGAACTCAAATATCAATAGTAATGAATTTCAAAAACAATTAAAAAAACATGAATGAGTTGCCAAATATAAATAAATACCATTTCAATGAAGTATAAAAATGCAAAACAATTTCATATGTGCTTATTGACATATAAATTGGTAAGAATAGGATTTTTAAAAGTATGTCTAGGGAAAAAAGAGAAATTAAGAATAGCCATAACCTCTAGAAAGAAAGAAAGAGATTGCATGTGATAGAAAATGATTACTTAGGGGACTTCAAGAGTAACTGTGATTTTCCCCTTAAATAAAATAAATAATCTGTAACAAGTATAGAAAAATATTATATTAAGATTTGATATAACCGTATGATGGCAAACAGGTGTTATTGATATTATGTCCTGTATTTTTTTCAGGTGATAGAAATACTTTATTAGAAAAGTAAAAGGTTGATCGGCATAGATTGAAGAGGGTGAAGTGAAACAAGGATAGAGGGTTGGAGAGTGTGCCTGAGAGAGGAACCAGCACAGACACAGTGGGCAGAACAAAGCTAACAGTCAGGGCCCAGTTAGTTGTTCTCCCGCAACACACAAAAAAGTTTGTCTACTTATGAGGGAGACCCAGAAGCCAAAGATGAGAAGTAGTTAGATTTGAAATTCTTTTTTTCCCCTCATAGTAACCATGAAGATCCTTGGATTCAATCCTATGCAATTTCAGACCAGCATTTTCCCACAGTATAGAACTCTGGTTAGATTCCATAATATCTGTTCTCCTTACATCCACCTCAAATTTTGAATGAATTAAAACTGGACAGATGTAGTTGCATTAAGAAAATCTGATGTAGTAAAAAATCAGACTTTGTTATATGAGATAAACAGAGCATTTTGATATAACAGGTTTTGTTTAAACAGAATGATCTGATTAAAATACTGCAAAGGTAAGGATTAAGAATAATGTGTTAAATTCTGTTCTCCTCCCTCCTTCTTGCTCCTTTGCATTGTGGGATTTCTCACTGCTACATGGCTGCATAAGAAGCATAATTAGTGATGAGGAGACAAAATTCACGTTGTGACAATGAATTTCTGGTTCTCTGCTAGATAAACAATTCCGCTGAGGAGGTGTAAATTTCCTCTTCATTAGAGCAGCATTTGCCTCAAAATTAGAGTCTTCTGGGGCAGCCCTGCTAATCTCACCTCCAAACTAACTTAGATCTGATGGAAACAAGATCAGAAAAGTGCAGGTTGTGTCTTCTTGTTACAAATCAAGTGGTTAGAAAGTGCTAATTTAGTCAATGTGATTATATCATAAAGGCAGACAGTACTTGTAGATTTATGCAATGAAACGTCTTTCTCATCTGAAATCAGTTCAATTTTCTCAGTAAACTAAACAGCTCATTTTCTCTAAGATTAGAACAGACAATGAATTCATATATTTTCAGGGCATACGATCCTTCAATGATAAGCCAGTAAATACTCTGCAGTAATAGTTTATAGCAGTTTTTCAAGCTTTAGAGTTCATGAGGTGACACCAGGCTCTTAGGAATTCTTCCTCATTGTCCTTTCTCATCCCCATAGCATTCCTAACAAAAGAAAGGTGTGCCAGAATTAAGCCTGAAAGACCAGGAGAGAATACAGGGGCATAATAACCTCAAATAAAAGAAGATTGCATTAGAAAGTTTAATATATTCTTACCATGGATCAATTAGAATTCAATGGAGATAAAATCTGTGATAATATATTTTTCTTTAAAGCAAGAAAACAATAAATAATTAAGAAATGAAATAGGTAGGGGATTAAAAAGCAAAAGAGAGATGTAGGAAAGAAAAAGTGGAGAGAACAAGAGAAAAGGCGGTAGGGAGGGAGAGAGGAAGAAATAAAAGAGGGAAGGGAGGGAGGGGCACAATGGAAGGAAGGAGGAAAGAGGGAAGGGAAGAGAACTTGAGAGGCGGGGAGCTCCCATTACATTTATCTTAACACTCAAAAGTTAAAAAGTATCTACTGCAACCAGAGAACAATACGAAGATGTGTAAAAAATTTTTAATTTTTTCATACCTCTGTGCCCTCCCCTTACCACCAAGTAAACTAATGCCAACATCTTCCTTTTTCTCTAAGCTAAGACAAATATATGCATGTGTTTTTTCAAGTAGGCATAGTTGAATTAAAATTGCCTAGGGACTTTGTTGATTTAATCTAAATGTTGGAATAATTTAATAGAAGATCTGTAGAATTGGCCAAATGAGACAACATAGAAATATTTAATCCCACTTGAAATTCAACATTGCAAACTTCAGAAGCATACATGCTTGTTGGGATACTGAAAATTTATTGGTATAAAGCAATCAATATGTAAAAAGGGAAAAAATCTGATATTATATCAAATATTTGATTCAGGACCCTTATCCACATAAGCAAAGCAAATATATATAATATAATAAATTTTCTGATATTCCTACATATAGACACTGAGAACAGAAATGGTATATCCAATCCAATACATCAAATCAAGCCAGTAATTTTTTTTTCATTTGTTTTTCTCTAGGAACCTTTAAAGTATTCACTAATAAAGGATATATATATCTATATCTAGATTTGCTTAAAAGGAAATACTAGGGTATGACTTTTAAGAAATTATTTTAAATGATCTCTGAAAACCAGATTTTAGAAACCCATTTTAGTGTGCTTGGATGACTTGGCTTTGAGCCACTCTATTTTATACCAGTAATTAGTACCTAAGTTGACACTGTGTTGTGGAGAGAAAGAAACACATCCTTATGGTTCTCCAGCCCAGCAAACAAGAGGAAATGTACATGCACTCTAAATAATGTTCTCTTAACATAGCCACAAAGGCCCATAACTGAATTGTTCCTCATCTGTCCTATCTTTATCTAACCCCAATACTAATAAGTTTAAGTACATCCTTCCCAACATGTTCATCTGTTTTCTCTGGTCCAATAAAAAGAAATAATGGATGAGATACTGGTAATAAGAAAGATACTAGTATATTTGTGGCTTAGAGGGACAAAAGAAAAAAAAAAAGCAAAAGTAAATCCAACCCTTAATGCAGTGGTTCTCAACCTTCCTAATGCCGCGACCCTTTAATACAGTTCCTCATGTTGTGGTGACCCCCAACCATAAAATTATTTTCGTTGCTACTTCATAACTGTAATTTTGCTACTGTTATGCATCGTTATGTAAATACCTGATATGCAGGATGTATTTTCATTGTTACAAATTAAACATAATAAAAGCATAGTGATTGATCACAAAAACAGTATGTAATTATATATGTGTTTTCTGATGGTCTTAGGCGACCCCTGTGAAAGGGTCATTCGACCCCCAAAGGGGTTGCGACCCACAGGTTGAGAACCGCTGCCTTAATGTAACAACCTAAGGCCTTGGGAAAGAGGGACGCTCTCTAGGCTTTTGTGCTTTCAAACGTTGACCTGATTGTAGGAGAAAAAGGTGATCAAACTCCTTGTAGAACATAACCTCTTAATGGAATAGTTTTAAATGCCTGCCTTAGACGAATGTAGAAAGCAAAGTTCCATGTGTGTTCATTGAAACCCTCAAGAAAGCCCAAAGCACAGTTCATTAATATACTAGTACTTTGATTAAAAGATTATACATTTTTATATAACGGTACTGAAAAGCGAGTTAAAAAAATTCATCTTAGACCTAAATGTATGTTTCAAATATATATTCTGAATTCTTGCTCTCTGCATGTTGGACCACGTAAAGATCAATAAATAAATGCATTAAAGATGTTAGCAGAAAAGGATAATTCTGGCCCTCTGGTTAGAAACTAGATATCCTGAGATAGTTTTCAAATCCTTCCTCCTACGTTACTGCAAAAGTTTCCTTGGTTTATTGATAAATGCTCGGCAACATTCTTTTCTTTTTTAAATTAAAAGTTGGATGAAATTTAATGCAACCAAATATTCATACGCACGGGAACTTTAGAGAAGACAAGCAAGCTAGCATTATCATAAATTAAATAAAAATTTACTTTCAAAATATTTTATCTAATATGGCTATATAATATCTTACTAGTATATGTGAAAGGGATATTGAATGATGTATCTATAATGTTGTTTAAAGCTTCTCTAACTTTATTCTTTGCAAATTAATTGACCATCATAGCCAGAACATGCCATGTGGACCAGTTTTCTTGTGGCAACGGGCGCTGCATTCCCAGAGCATGGCTGTGTGACAGGGAAGATGACTGTGGTGATAAGACAGATGAAATGACATCTTGTGGTAAGTTGTGAGTGAACATGATATTAGTAGATCCTGGGTCAGATGGAAGATTCTATCACTATAATCTCTCCTAAAAGGCTATTCATGTCTTTACAAATCAGCAAGCCTTTTGGGTCTAAATATATCTTTCAAGATAACTTCAGAATATATACTATTCATGGGGCAGTACCATTTCCTAGGCTAAAACAAATGGATCCAACATAGCCAACAATTGTTGTTTGTTGATAAATTGATAATAGCCATTCTGAGAGGTGTAGAGTGATATCTCATTGTGGTTTTTATTTGCATTTCTCTGACAATTAGTGATGCTGAACATCTTCTTACAGGTCTCTTGGCATTCTGTATGTCCTCTTTGAAGAAGTGTCTATTCTGATTCTCTGTCTATTTTTTAATTGCATTGTTTGGTTGTTTTTGTGTGTAAAATTGTGTGAGTTCTTTATAAATTTTGTATATTAACCCCTTATCAAATGTATCATTGGGTGAATATGTTCTCCCATTCAGGAGGTAGTCTTTTCATTTAGTTGATGGTTTCCTTTGCTGCGTAAAAACATTTTACACAGATGAAGTTAATTTATTTATTTTTAATCTTATGTCCTATGCCCAAGGAAAAAAACATATTGGTAAGAGAAATATCAGAGTTTACTGCTTATGTTTTCTTCTAGGAGTTTTATGATTTCAAGTCCTACATTTTTAAGTCTCTAATTCATTTTTAGTTTATTCTAGTATATGGTTTAAGAAAGTGGTCTAATTTCAACTTTTTGCATGTATCGGTTCAATTTTCCCAGCACCATTTATTGAAGAAATCATCTTTACTCTATTGTATGCTCTTGTCTTCTTTGACATATATTAATTGACCATTTAGGCATCAGTTTATTTTGTGGCTCTCTATTCTGTTCCATTGCCTGTTTACATGCCAGTACGATGCTGTTTTGCCTATTATAGCCTTGTAGTATAGTTTGATATCAGGTGGTATCACCAACTTTGCTCCAACTTTGCTCTTCTTTCTCAGGTTGCTATAGCTATTTGAAATATTTTATGGATCCATATATATTTTTGGAAGTTTTATCCTAGTTCTCTGAAATATACCATTGGTATCTTGATAGAAATTGCATTGAATCTATATATTGCTTTAGGTAATATGGACATTTTAATAATGTTAATTCTTCCTATCCATGAGCATGACATATTCATTCATGTATTTGTGTCATCTTCATTTTTTTTCTTCCGTGTCCTAGGAATTTTCTAAATACAAGTATTGTACCTCCTGGATTAAATTTATTCTTAGATATTTTACCTTTTTTCTATTAGTTTATTATTGATATATAAAAATGAAACCAATTTCTGAATATTTTGTATCCTGCTGCTTTGCTGAATTCATTTATTAGTTTTAATAGTGCTTTGGTGGAATCTTTAGGGTTCTCTATATACCGTATCATGTCATCTGCAAATAGACAATTTTACTTCTTCCTTTCTGATTTGGATGCTCTTTATTTCTTCTTGTCTGAGTACTGAGGCTAGGACTTCTAATACTATACTGAATAAGAGCAGTAAAAGTGGACTTCACTGTTTGTTCCTGATTTAAGAATTACAATTTTTGCTTTGCCATGTTGAGTAAGATGTTAGCTGTGGATTTGTATTATATGGCCTTTGTTATGTTATGTTCCAATTATTTCCACAAGTTGGAAAAGCTAAATAATTAAGAAATTATGAACCTTGAGGATTTATTGCCCTTGTTTTCAACATGATTTATTGAATTGTAAACTTATATAACTTATTTTTTTAATAACGGCTGTGTGCTTAACAACTGACTCATAGAATCCTTGAAAATCTAAAAATCTGCTCTTGCAAGCTAGTACAAAATATCTTCAGTGAACCACTGGTTATGAACACATTATGAAATTTAGTTGTCCCATATTTGCTTTTAAAATGTAGTCAAATTTTATAAAGTGTATCTTTCATACAGAAAGAACATTGAAGCTCGATGGAGGACTGGAGGAATGTCCAGTGAGGGTAATAAAAGCAGCATCTCTGACCTCCTCTCTGAATTTACAACTCCATCATCCCCAGCAAGCATTTCTTAGAGCAGCAGAAAAACTACATTTAATAATCTAGAATCCCTCACCCAATTCTACTTTCCCTTGGTCCCCAGTGGGAACCAAGGGCCCGTGGTCATCTAGGCCAACAGTGACGCCCAAGTGAGTCACTGCATCACCAGGCAATGAGGTCTCAGAGCTACAGAGATAGCTTCTCCGACCCAACCCTTTTGTCACAGCAACACAATGACACAGACTCTGGATGACGGCCCTGGGTACATAAACGTTGTTCTTAAATAATTGGATAAGTCAACAAGAGAATGAATGGTTGAGGGACAGCTGGAGAGTGGTCTGCCTGTGTTCTTGAAGGGCTAGCTGTCTTCAAGGCACTGTAAAACCCCTTCCCAACAGGCTGTGGAAACACAGTCATGACCCTTTCACTGAGCAATTATAAACACCCTTCTGGGGAAAAACGGACCTAGCAATTAGAACTGCGGGTATAGGTTTGAACCAACTACTCACCTAGGTTTGCTGTCATCTTACATACATGTTTTCTTCTTGTTTATCAGGAGGTTTCTAAAAACCTTTGCTAAAATACAGGTGTACTCTTCCGTTGCATTTTCATGATATATACTTATGGAAACATTGTATCAGCAAAAAAAGTAGAGTTAGTTTGCCATGTCTTGTTTTTATTTTATTCATGAGCAGTGTATTTATAAATGCTGACAAAATGTTTTAACACGTTCATCCTAGAATTATTGTCAGAGATATACCTAAACTTCACCTCTCTACAGTTTCCAAATTTTCACTGATTTTTGAAATTAGGGCGATTTACTTTCCTTTTAACAGTCTTTATCAGTCTTGTCTTCTTCTTATGCCAAAATGACTGTCAATATTCAGAGATCAAAAATGTTTGATGCTTTATTATTTGATAAGTTGTCTTACTATGAAGATAACTTTTCTATTTACTTTGATTGAAAGCCTTGTTTCTCACTCTCCAACATGACAATAATCATTTTCATAAAAAAAAAAAAAGATGTAAACCAAAGAAACAGAAGCTCTTTACCCTGCCTTTGTCCTGCAGTCTTATGCTTTGTGTCCCAGATGGTCTTGTTCTGTTCTTCCCACACCTTTATATTTAAATGTTATTATTTTTGTTTAAAAATGGCATAAAGGCTCCTGTTAGGTTGTCTTCTTAGTATTCTTGTAGGTCTGTGACATGCTATTGCATCTATCTTTTTACAGAGGTCTTTTGTACATCCCTGATTAGGCTTCATCTGCAGAAAAGTGGGGAGTGAAGCAAACACTGGCAAAGTATATTGAAAGCCACAGCAGAAATTATTACAAACAACTTCTAGTTCCTTGATCTAAGTCAGCATTTCCCTAACCTCTTGCTTGAGGATAGTAATCGCCTGATGTGCTTGTTATTAACAAAGATACCCAGGTTCCAATGCTCCTCCCCAAAAGATTCCAATTCAGGTCTTAGATTGTGTTCAGGAATCTGTGTTTTGAGAACAAAACCTCATGTGATTTTTACCCTAAACCAGTGGTTCTCAACCACCATTTTTGAGGGCGTGGCAGTCAATTAGCATATTCCATCCTTATTGGCTGTGGTTGCCACCATCTTTGAGGGTGGGGCAGTCAATTAGCATATTCCTCTTTATTAGATAGGATCATTCTTATGTTAAGGGTGGGGCAGTCAATTAGCATATTCCTCTTTATTAGATAGGATCATTCTTATGTTAACTTGATATAGTAGGCAGTTAGGCAGATATGAGCCGAGTAGGAACAAAAAGCAGGTACAGATTGTCACCAGGGCAGCGAGCCCCAGGTGCCCAGCAATGCGAAAACAGGGGGAACATGTATTGTAAGGTGGGACCTCGCCCCCAGGGTGACCTTTCCTTCCCTAGCATATCATGTGGTTTAAAACCCTGGCCTTTCATATTGCTGCTCATCTGGTTTTACCCTCCCCTGAACTTTCCTCTCCTGACATGTAGCTGGTCCTATGGCAGAACCCCTTAGGGTAGAACAAGGAGACCAAAGAATAACCTCATGTAACTCCCATGCAGGTCCTTGTCTGACCACTCCCTTAAGCATTAAGCCAGTGGTTCTCAACCTTCTGGCCCTTTAAATACAGTTCCTCATGTTGTGATCCAACCATAAAATTATTTTTGTTGCTACTTCATAACTGTAATGTAAATATCTGATATGCAGGATGGTCTTAGGCGACCCCTGTGAAAGGGTCGTTTGACCGCCAAAGGGGTCGTGACCCACAGGTTGAGAACCGCTGCCCTAAACCAAGACCACACAATTTAAACTCTGTGATTTCAACATTCCCTACCAATTAGTATTAGACCTGCTGCAGCTCATTACCACAAACATGATGGCTTTAACAACAAGGTTTTACTCTTACCTCCCTGGAGGCCAGAAAGCCAAAACCAAGCTGTCAGCAGGGCCTGCTCTGAAAGCGCCAGGGGAGAATCCTCCTATGACTCTTCCGCTTCCATTGGCTTCTGTTGCTCCTGGCCTGGGGCATCCTAACTCGGAGCTCTTGTCTCTGTCTTCACATGGCTTTCTTCCCCATATCTCTGTGGATCCCCTCTTCTTTATTTTAGAAGGACGTGGTCTTTAGATTTATGGCCCACTCTTAACCCAGGGTGATCTCCTCTCGAGATCCCTTAATTTCATCTGCAAAGACCCTTGGTCTAAATAAGGTCACATTCACTGGTACCAAGGTTTAGACATAGGTCTTTGATCTGTCTAAACATACAAGCCAACCGAAAGGACCTGGGAAACTTCATTATGCCATATACCACCAATTGAATTATAATAGAGACTCAGGTTTAGGTAATTTTCAAAGCTATTCAGGCAATTCTAATACGCATCCAGGTTTGTGAAGCACTCTCCTAATACCTATAATTTAGTCCCTGCCTCCAAGTTAACGTCTTACCTAATCTCTATTACATC